TACTAGTGTGCCCACCTCACCCCAAATTTTGGTATCATCAGTAAATTTGAACAGGTTGCTTTTCACCCTGTCGTCCAAATCGCTGATAAAGAACTTGAACAGTGCGAGCCCAAGGACTGAGCCTTGGGGAGACTCCGCTGCCCACTTCCCCCCAGGTCAAATATGACCTGTCCACCACCACCCTCTGAGTATGACCCCTCAACCAATTTGCAATCCATTTGACCGCGTAGGCATCAATGCCACAGTCGCCTAGTTTTTTAATGAGGATGGGGTGGTCGACAGTGTGAAAGGCCTTGCTGAAGTCCAGAAAGACTACATCCACGGCGACACCTGCATCCAATGCTTTTGTGACCTGATTGTAAAAGGCAATCAGGTTGGTCTGATATGACCTGCCCCTAATGAAACCGTGCTGGTTGCCCTTGAGCATCATCCCCGATCCCGGCCTGTCACAGATGTGCTCCTTGATGATCTTCTCAAAGAGTTTTCCCAGGATTGAGGTAAGACTGACAGGCCTATAGTTGCCTGGGTCCTCCCTCCTCCCTTTTTAAAAGATGGGATCACTATTCCTTGATCCTCTGCTTTTAATGCTTCCAGACATTCCATGTTTCTCTGAAAATATTTGCACCATCTTACATAAATCATAATACGAAGTCTGTATAAAATGCAGTTGAATGTTATATTTATTTTGTTTCCCCAGTAAAAGAAATTCTGTCTCCTGTACCTGAAGAACCATCTTGGAATACTGAAAATCCAATTGTTCTTGAACCTGCAGAATTTGATGTCGTAAGTACATTGCTGAGATACGTTTGCATTCTAGTTACTCTAATTTGTCCTTGACCCACCAATTGCAAACGTATCTGACTAGCTTAATTCAGCTAGGATGGAATACAGTCGCAATACAAGTTTTACTGCTACATTTTAAATAGGTAATGAATGCTCAAAAATAAATAACATATTGTTAAACCATCCTGTCAGAGGGATCCTTTTAGTTTGGTTTTACTTCTGGTAAATTTTGGTTGTGGAGTGTTACACATCTGTTGTGCCTGCTCTTTTCTCCTACATTACAGTCGAGGTGCTGTGTACTTGCTATTGCTATTTTAACCACCACTTGAGTTTAGGAGTCCTTGATTTTTCATAACACTTGGATTATGTGTGGCCTCTGGAAGATATATCTCTCCACAACTGAAGAGGATCATTGGACCTTTTTGAAAGAAATAGATGCAAGTAGAAAATTTATTCTTGGATAAAGAGAAGTTAAAAAAAAAATAACCCAACCACACAAGCACAGATATCACTAGAAAATATAGTTTCCCCTCTTACACAAATACCTCAGTAAAACAAAGAAAAACCTGAAAAAATGCTGGCTGGTATTTTCTTTTTGTTCATAGATATGTAAATTCTCTCCCCTCCAAATCCATTTTTGATCCAAAAATGAAATTCCCCACCTTAGAGAAAACATGACAACTTTTCTACAGATGAGCTCAAAGAAATCCACAAATTTAGCTCCAGTTTTTGAATGACTAAAGTTTCATGGATGAATCTGTGGTTTTTATTATGTTCATTCTATACAGAGAATTTCTGGAGAACAGATACACTTAGGACATGTCTACCACAGCATAATGCAGCTGTGTAAGTGAGCTAGCTTGAGTACCAGAAGCAGCATAGTGCTTAACATAGTGCTTGACTTGGGATAATGTACTCTGATTCCCAGTGGGATAAATTTTCATGGGCAGAGCACCATTCTACCATAGTTATGCTACTTCTGGTACCCAAACTAGCTCTGTTACCTTTCACTGGTACTGAAAGTGTGCTGTATTGACAGACCCTTATTTTTAGACCAATTTAAGTAAGAAGTGTTTAATAGTGAAGAGTTAACCCATCACTTGATATGGATAGTGTATGAAAGTCTCAATGACTGAAAGCTCATTCTAATTCAAAAGCGGGAACCATTTCAACTACATTTGGAGTCTGCCTTTCTTTCACATCCCTTGAATGGTTGCTTTACTTGCATTTATATTCCTGAAAAGCTCATATATTTGTCAATTTCAAATTGGAGGCCTATTTGAAAAACTTGACTTCTGTGTTGTTTTGAGTTCCTGTCCTGCAATGAGATTCATAAGAGAAGAAACTGTAGACAGAAAATGTGTAAGAGTGGAACAGGACTAATTTTCAGTGGAATCCTGTCCAGCTACAGATATCCATGCTAGTAGATGAGCCTACACAACAGAGACCCTCAGGAACTTATATAATTTATTAAGTAAGGAAGCAGAAACTATACCACATGATTTACTTTGCAAATCAGTAAGAGTGGGAAATGTGACCATTTGCAACACACTCTTCATAAATAGTCTACATCAAAGATTTATTTGATGAAGAAATTTACGAATGGTTTTGAATAATGAATACATCTGAAAATGTAGTGTTCTGCATTTGAATGATTTGGGAATACAGGAACAAATTTTATACTCCGAATGTGCTATTTGTCATGAATTATTTGTTCAGCTCTAATTAACAGGCATTGGAATTCCCCATTTTATTCATAGCCTTTACTCCAGTATTCTAAGCTGTTCATATTTTAGCTAGGGCGAGGTAACAATGACTTGAAAAAGTATACAAGCGCTCCAGTAACTAGCTTTTTTAGCAAAATTCATCAATATGAGTAAAAGTGGATTTTACTTTGTAAGATTAGAAAATTCACACAACTACCAAAAAAGAACGAACATAGATGTGGGTGGCAGTAGCTCCTCAATGCAAAGATTTTAAATGCAAGAAGCAGTTGCCAGGAATTGCACTTCATCATTTATTTTAATGTGGATAGATGTTCCTATGACAACTAATACAATTCAAAGATTCTTGTTATGTATAGTATATTATATTAACAAATTTAATATCATATTGGCAAGTTCAGTTTTTGCTAATGTCATTTGAAAGCTTACAAATATTACAGATCACTGCAAAAACAAAGGAAAAAAATCAGTTTTCCATTTCTTGGTGCCAGAAAGACATCATACTCAAACCCAGGGGGCTCTGCTTACTCCAACCAAAAAAAAAGAAATATTAAAGTCTGATTTAAATCCTACCTGTAGGGTTTGTGGGAGATCTACTGATTGGGATCTGTAAAATCTGGAAGGGTGAATTCAAAGTGAATTAAAAGTAAATTGGTATCACCCATAAGTGGTTATCTTGCAAAGTCTAAGGAGCTCCATACAATATAATGACATTAAATATGGCCTTAATAGTACAACTGCTTTTGAAGTTGAGGTAAATGATTACAGCAGGACACACTGTCTCATTGCCACAACTGCCCATCTAATAATGTCCCCTACATTTGCTTAGCTGGGAAGAATAGATAGTAGATCTGAGCAAGTAATACTTTTATTGAGAGGATCAGATTTATTTTCTCTTTGTCTATCAGCAGGTCATGATTTTCTTACAATTATTATCTGTAATAATTTCCCAAATCATTTCTATATAGTAGATTGTACATCGGAGTTTGCTACATGAATAGCTAGGCTTCAAAGACTTCTGATCAGAAATGTGTGTCACCTGGTATTATTTTCATCCTTTGAGTGAATGAGCATAACTTGTAGAATTAAACAGAAGGCAAGGCAGAGTAGCACAATATAGATTAAATAATGGAGAGAAGCAGACACATTTTCATAAGCAACAGCTTACAGTGTCAGATCTAACTAAATCTAAAGCTCTTGCTTGCAAAACCTTATGCCTCAGATTTAGTTAGTCCATAAGGTGCCATTCTATCCTGCCTTCTTCCTGATGTCAGACTAACATAGCTGACTATCTCTCTTAGAATTAGGTTTATGATACAAATATATACTTTTACTTCCTGTAGACTATTTATGAAGAGTGTGTTGTGAATGGTCACATTTCCCACTCTTACTGATTTGCAAAGTAAATCATGTGGTATAGTTTCTGCTTCCTTACTTAATAAATTATATAAGTTCCTGAGGGTCTCTGTTGTGTAGGCTCATCTACTAGCATGGATATCTGTAGCTGGACAGGATTCCACTGAAAATTAGTCCAGGTCCACTCTTACACATTTTCTGTCTACAGTTTCTTCTCTTATGAATCTCATTGCAGGACAGGAACTCAAAACAACACAGAAGTCAAGTTTTTCAAATAGGCCTCCAATTTGAAATTGACAAATATATGAGCTTTTCAGGAGTATAAATGCAAGTAAAGCAACCATTCAAGGGATGTGAAAGAAAGGCAGACTCCAAATGTAGTTGAAATGGTTCCCGCTTTTGAATTAGAATGAGCTTTCAGTCATTGAGACTTTCATACACTATCCATATCAAGTGATGGGTTAACTCTTCACTATTAAACACTTCTTACTTAAATTGCGGACAGAGTTTCCTGCCCACATTTTTTTTGCCATACCAGATTACTTTTCAGTCTGGGGTAGGAGTGTTGTTGTGCCCATCTGAGGTCTGGTTTAGGTATCTGCAAAAGGCTGAAAGCCAGGAACCTCTTGAGTTTTAGTCAAAGTTATGATATGCCTCCCCTTATGGCCTTGGTCAAGTTGCTTAAACTCTCTGCACTGGTTTTCTGTTTGTCAAATGGGGATACCTCTCTTCCTCACAGGGGGTGTGTAGATGAAACGGGGGCCATAAATTGACGCGGTGGGTTTTAAAAAACACTGTTTCAATTTAGGGCTGATTAAACCCCCATGTTGTGCACACACCCCACTGACTTTACCTGCCTCTCTGGCAGCGGGGAGGGGAGGGTGAACTGCTGGTGGGCAGAGAGGTCCCTGGGCTGGCGGGGGCTGGTGCTTCCCTCTGCGGAGGTGGTGGGCCCCCCCAGGCAGCACTCGCCCTCAGGCACCTGGTTTTGGGCGGTCCCGGGGGGGCACCACAGCTGCAGAGGGAAGCACCAGGCCCCCACGCAGCTCAGGCAGTCAGGCAGGCTCCAGGGGGAAAAAAAAACTAATCAGGTTTGCCACTTTTCTTGGGGGGGACCCTGCTTTCCCAGGCTGCCTGCAGGGCTTCCTGCAGAGCTGTGGAGCTGCATGGAGCCCAGTGCCTTGCTCCATGGCTGTAGGGGCAGCAAACTAAAACTCCTTCCAGGAGTCTTAGTTTGCTGCACCCCAAGTCATTTAAGGTGCATTATGCTGCCCAATTTCCTACAGCGGCTGTAATTAATGCACAATACGCCGCCAAGGCGTGAAGACACCGACACCATTAAAGCAGTGCAAAAGCATTTAGCCCACTTTAAAGTGTCGTTCACACATGCACCTTGCTTCATCTACATGCAGCCAGAGGTACTGTATGGATAGGTTAATGTCTGAAAAAGAAAATTGATGAGCATTATGATTATAATCAAAATATTAATACTCATTGTTGGCATAATGGGTACTACATACAGAGTGATCACCACTGGATGGCAAAGAAAAAGAAAATTTTTGAAATCCGGTTTGTTTTTCATCATTTATACTCTTTGTTTACTTTCTGCATTTCATTCAGTTTGGAGATGAAAAGCGCTATGTAAGTTTAAAGTATTTTTCATACTATAGAGTCCGCATTCTTAATAAGTTTTAAAACTGTGTACCAAAAATTCTTATAAATGACATGAAGAGAGAGAAGTTTCCATATGGTAATCAAGTGTCCTGTATGCATCTACTGGGTATTTTACAATTGCTCAGCTGATAAAAGCTTTCAGCTGATAAAAGCAGATGTGCATAAATGGTAACCATTCTAATCCCACAGCATCACACTGCTGTGAAATCTCACTTCCAAAAAAATGCTACTGCTTTCCAAATAATGCATGTGGGTTTTTTTCCTTTGGAATGAATATGGGTTGATTTAGAACACACATCACATTGGTGGGGCGCATGCTGCCCTGCCCTATACCCACAAATACAGCCGTTACTAATCCTCTTGGAACCTCTTAATACCATTCTACTAAATAACAAAGGAAATAAGAGCCCATTAAGCAGAAGGCACTACTAGTTAACAGTTGCTACTAATTATGTGATGTATGTAGTTTGTGCAGTTTGTGTAGGCAAAACTTCTGTTATAGTAGGTCATTATGGGTTTGTGTTTCAGGATAAGCCCCTTTTAGCTGAGTGGCCTTCAGCAGATGAATCGACTATCAGCAATATCTTGCCACTTGATTTCACTGAACCAGATTTCACCCTTGAAGATGAACAGTCTAATGGCAATGCAATATGGTTAAGGCCAGATAACTTGGACCCTGAGAATAACTTCAATTCAACACCAAAAATTCCAATCATCTCTGAAGCTGACACTACTTCTTCCCCCGATGAGCTGGTTTTAGAGGAGACCAGCCAGATCTCACATTTAGTCACCCCATCAACATTAGATAGTGGATTTCCTGTAGACTATCATGAATTCCTTTCTATCCCTGCATCTTCAGATGATGGTAAGTTTACTTTGTTTGGTTTATCAAAACCAAAGTTGAAATCCCAATGTTTCCCTGTGCTCACAGCAGCCAGTCCTCTCCAAAATAATTCCAGAAACTCCTATACCTTGGATATAAATTCTGTAGTCACTTTCTCCTTCAACGTGTTTCTCCTTCAGCGTGTGAGGAACACATTTCTAAATTGAATTGGTTATAACAGCTAAAAACTAGTTGTTCCTGAAGTGTGTAGAGTTGCGTTGTATGGGAGTCAGCTGTTCTATTTCACAGAAAATGTTATCAAATAGATTATTAGCTGGATTTAACTGTGGGAGAGATCAGCAAAATTGTTTTTTAACTTAGTCATGAACAGGCCCACAAGGTTTCTTGGGAAAAATATAGAATGCTGATTCTTAGGTGGATAAGGGAAATAGAATTTGTTAAGGTAGAATTGCAGAAGCACCAGTTAATTTGGAACCTGGTTGGGTTTTTTTAGGTCTTGAAGACATTGGAGAATCAGAAGGCTTTCTTTTTCCTTCAAGTCTGGCCCCTCACCTTGTGCCAAAGGAAATGCCAGCCACAGGTAGTTCTGTGGTTCCTGTAACTTCTGTACCAACCATGGCCTCTGTATCAGTGATAGAACCTAGTACTGAGAGAGAAAAGCAAGATGAGATCAAGCTTATTGATGTGGACTCCATATCCCATGACCCCCCGAAAAGGGGTCAGTCCCATTTAGAAGTGAAACCTCTGCAACCCGATACATATCTTGGAGGTAAAATTATATATGAGGATGGATCAGGTTCAGCTTTTGATGCTTCAGGACAAGGACAAGAGCCAGAATCAAACATTTGGCTATTGGATGCAGCAACACTAGAGCCAATTTCTGATCCTCTTCCTGATCGCTGGCTTGATGGTGATAATGAATCTCTGTTAATCAGAGCTGAGGTTCCTCCTGAAGAACTGATCATAGATTATATCATTAACTCAGTGGAGGAATTACACAGTCATTCTACTGAGGATGAGGATGAAAGCATGACTGGTGCAAGAAAGGAATTATTTGATGGCTCTGAAACAAAGACACCCACTTTTTCAGAGGCTACAACTCAGCTGGTGCCTCCATCAGAGACAGAAGAAGTGCTGGATGTGGAACTGTTCCTGCAAACATTTGAGGCTTCAGGCATGCATGATCATTCATTTACTGAGCCATCCCTTGCCGTGAAGCCTTCAGTAGACTATTTTTCTTTAGACATGCTTGATGAAGAGGCCTCTCTCCCACCCCAGGAAATAGATTTCTCTTCAGAAGATCATTTTGTTACCTCTACAGTGATATATAACTTGGAACATTCTGAGGACTTCAGTGAGGATCATCAAATCATTTATGAAGTAGCAGGAAACCAAAATGAGGATGGGGCAAAGTTGGAAGTAGTGTTCACAGTCAGCCACTCAGATATAGCTGTTCCAACAGGACAAGCAGACATGGGTTCTTCACAGACTGGGCCCCCTGAGCCAGAAATAATTCAGACAGCTGCTCCTTCTATGGAAGCAATAGTCACTGACATTTCTGTAGAGGAGCAACAAACTCCAGAGTTACTGTGGACAGTAGAGGAAGGTTCTGGATTAGTTCCCCTGAAACCATTTGATACTGAGTTGGTTGACAATACTGGGAAGGCATCTGAGCATGAGTTTCTTGAATCGCAACAATCTGAAGCAGCAACTGCCGTTGAAATCTCAACCATAGTTCCTTATTTATTAGATGTAACTATTGGCTCAGAGGCCTTCACTGGGCAGGCCAGTACAGACCATGATACTCAAGCCCCTATTAGCTTTGACACTGAAGTGAGCTTGTTTGCAGCAGTGACTGTAACAAAGAATCCTATTGATCTTCTCTCTGATTTCCCTACTGCACAGCCTACAATACTTCAGCCTATGGCTAGCTCAACAACACAGGGAGAGGACATGACTACAAGAGTAGGGGACATTTTTGTGGAGCTGGATCATGTGGGCACAATATACTACACTCCTGTGGTCAACCAGGAGGAAAGCAGCATGACTAGCAGTCACATGGAGCTATCTACAAATGCTCATTCTACTGTGAGAGCCAGTGTCGCTTGGCCCACTCATGAAAATCGCATCAATACTGCCCCATCTTCACGAGCTCTAGTGGTGTTCTTTAGCCTACGGGTTACCAACATGATGTTTTCAGAGGACCTATTCAATAAAAATTCCCCTGAATATAAGGCACTGGAGCAACGGTTTTTAGAACTGGTAAGAGTAACTTTATTATAAACATCTGTTACTTTCAGCTTCTGTAAGCAATAAAGTATTTTCTCTCTGTGTATGAAAAAGAGGAGACAGAGAGAATTTGATTGTGAAGTAATTACAGGAGTCCATTTCCTCTGTCAGGTTGTGAGTACCTCATTGATGTTAATAAGAGTTTACTTGTATCCTGAAGTTGGTGGAATATGTTCTGAAAGTTTGAATATTATTCTCTCAAATTCTGACACTAAATTTTATGGACCAAATTTATTAAGCCAACAATAAGTCTCTCAAATACGGGCTAGCACTGAGTCAGATGCTCAACAGATGCACATTGGTGAAGTGTCAAAGACTCCACAGGACTCTTATGTTCACCTGTTTCCAGTGTCCCCTCTTTGCTTTGTTAGTGGGTGTAAGGTAAAATATTTGGCACTGTAGAGTGATATAGCTACAGTGAAAAACAGGCAAGTCTCAAAGTGACTTTTTGTGAAATCTCTTGCTGAGTGAATTATGTTCATCTCTTGAAGAGCCAATGGCTAATAGAGTCCTTTAGGTGGAACACGGTATTAGTCACCAGAGCCAAGTGTTTGAAGGGGAAAACCAGTGAAAGGACAACACTTGTCATGTTGTGTTTGATTGTCCAGGCCAAGATAGAGCATCTCATCCTATGGATTACAATTCTATTTTTTAGATTAGGAAGCTTGCTGCAAGTTATTCCATTTTTTGCAAATTATGTGAAGCTCTCAAGCTCCCTGCCAGTATGGGCCTGAGCTTGGTAAAGTTTTGATATTCTTCTTGTTGGATCTGGAGAAGACACCTGGTCTCTTTGGTATAAAAATGGGTCAGTTAGCTTGGATATGTAGAGTCAGACACAGTAGTTTTTCTGTCATTGTTTTTTTCCATTGTAGCTGGTTCCCTACCTCCAGTCAAATCTAACAGGCTTCCAGAATCTTGAAATCCTAAACTTCAGAAATGGTAGTATTGTGGTGAACAGCCGAATGAAGTTTGCAAAACCTGTGCCTCGTAATGTCACCAATGCTGTATATATGATTCTGGAAGACTTCTGCAATACTGCCTATCAGACCATGAACCTGGCTATTGACAAGTACTCCCTGGATGTGGAATCAGGTAATGGAAATGAAGTGCAGGGTTTGGGGTTTTACAGCTAGCATCTGCCATATCAAATATGCTTGGGGTTAGAAACTGGACAAACCTGAGGCTGTGCAACTGAGCAGAGTGTCTGTTGCTCTTCTTGGTCTGGGTTTTAGCAGATTTTTTTTCCAGTCCCCCTCCTACCTGCCCTGGCCCCACCTGCATTGCTAAACACAAAAATTAGCAAGGCCTCAGACAAAGCTTTTGGGCCCCCTGGAAAAACTCAGGCCATGTGTGATAATGACATATGCGGTAACATCCTATGCAACTCTTTTGACTTCACTGTGATTGTAGGGTGAGGGAAGGTTAGACTGTAGAATTCAATCCTTATTTCTCCTGAACTGCCAGCTTTGCAGTTTCTTGTTCCTTCATTTGTTTGGATTCTTCCATGTAGCCTTTTTTGGGAAAGAAGATCCTCCTGCCAATAACTAACTCATCCTAGGGCTTTTCTGTATTAGGAAAGTAGATGTTAGAAAATTACTATTGAGGTATCAAGGGAATGAGAACAACCCTAAGCACCCAACGTAGTTTGGGTCTGTTGTTTTTATCATCCTGTCAGCTGTTCTTGGTTCACTGTCGTAGGAAGGTAGCTACTGCCATTCTTCATGATCATGTTCTAATGAAATGCAGTTTCCAACTGTAGAGGGGCTTTGAGCTGGGCTCCTATCTTGTTGCCATTCCACAGTATGTGATTTAGTTCCCAAAGGAAGTACTACAGTTTATTTCTTTGCATATAACTATCAGTAGTTTGCTCTCCCTCATGTCTATGCTCTGGCATGCATGGCCTGGTCTCAGTAAAAATTAAAAGTCCCACCCTTTACACAGTCCTCCAAGTTAGGAAAATATTCAATTGTTTGTATTTCTCTTCCTCTATATCCAGAACCTTTTGTGTGGAAATAAGGTCCCTAGGAAAAGGTGCCTTCCCGTAACAAAGTGCTGCAATTGAGGAGTTAGCACTTACCAACTTACCATAAAGCAGAAAGTGAGGAATTTTCCCCTGTGCTCAAAATAGGAAATTACTGTACAACGTGTTGGCACCTGGTGGCTACTGCATTCAAATACCTTGGCTCTAAAATAGAAGATGAAATTTGGATTGAACATTTTCAACATTGATTTGTATACTGTTCTTTTTAAACAGTCAGATCTATTTCATGGTACATGTACCAGTGGGCTCTGTGGAGCCAGTAAGGTGTCAAAGTCAGTAGAGTTTCTTCCTCCTCCAGGTGTGTACACAATGCCTCCTGAATACCAGTCAGCCTCACTAAACTACACTCAGGCTAGAAGAGCACCCTTCCACAGTGTTTGAAAGCAGCTATATTTTAAGTAAAAGGTAGTAATCAGAAATGGGTGAAGTTCCAAGTAACAAAAAGTTATGAGGGACCTTGGTCCATTGGGTAGAAAATCAAAACGGAGTTTAGAAGGCCTGATTTCCATACTCAGTTCTACTGACTCACCATGGTCTCAGGCAGGTGTCTTGCTCCTATTTTATAGTTGGGAAACTAACTGGAGCACAAGGCACAAAGAGATAAATGACACTATTGGCAGAATCCTTTGAGACTTGGCTTAAATCCAGCACTTCTGCCTAAGTCTGATCACTGGGACATGATTAAAAACTCTTCCGTTAGTTTATGGTGTTAGATAGATAGGAAATCTGATGTGGAGCACAGCAACTAACTGTAGAAACTGTGACCAGCTTATCTAATTCTCTGCCTGATTGTGTCCTCAGGAGACCAGGCTGATCCTTGCAAATTCCAGGCATGCAATGAGTTCTCTGAATGTCTAGTGAATCGCTGGACTGGGGAGGCAGAGTGTGTCTGTTTTCCTGGCTACCTAAGCATAGATGGATTACCCTGTAACAGCATCTGTGACCTGCAACCAGACTTTTGCCTCAATGATGGGAAGTGTGACATCAGCCCAGGACACGGAGCCATATGTCGGTATGTTATAAAAGCATAAACTTGTTGTTTCTGTATCCCAAAGTTGTCAGATTTCTAAGCGACTGGGGGCTGAATGCCCTATGGGCCACACCATGGGTGCAGACCATGGCCCCAGCCACACCCCAAGGCAAAACACTGTGCAGACACCTGCGCCTACTGGGTCACTGGGCCCCAGGCTCACCCTCAGCTCCCCACACTGCCCCACCCCCTGGGGCAAAGGCAGGGGCAGGGACAGGGGCAAGAAGTGAATCTGGAGGAGGGTGGAAGGAAGAACCTGGGGACTCTGGCTGCTGTAGTAGCGGGAGTAGTGGTAGCCAAGCAGATACCCAGGGCCCACAACATAACCCATTGTTGGCTGCATGCAACACACAGGCTGCCAGCCCTGCTCCTGTGCATGAGGTTGCATATAATAAGAGAGGTCCTTAATGATTAATCCACATCCATAAATTGGTTGGACATCCTAAAACTGTAGTCAGTTCTGGTCCTGGTTTAGGGATTAAGAGCAGAACTTTGCTGTCCACAGGAGCTTTTCCACTGACATCAACAGAGCCAGAATTTCATCCTAAGGATGAGACGCTCATTTTCAGACCTTGCCACCCTCTCAGAGGGTAGGGTTGCTCAGTTGGTAAGGTGTTTGGTAGGAAAAAAGTTTTGCCCAGAAGGCAGTAATGGAAGTCATTTCTTAGGTCAAGTCTAGTCCCTTACTCTTCAAGAGATATACATTCAAGAGACTGTATCCCATGCTGTGTTGTTAAGCAGTATTTAATATTTTGTGTTGTTAAACCAAAAAATGGACTGACTTTAGTCACAAAATTCAGATTTGTAAGGCAGAGCTATGCAACATGCTTACACGATGCTCCCAGCTGAGAAAAAAATGGAATTGTATACCTCCTGATGGGAAAAGCATCTTGTACAAGTTATAAAAGATCAGCACAAATGTAGAACCTTTTACAGCTTAGGTTCAAGCTTTTATTTAGTGTTTGAAAAGACCTAATCTACTCTCCCAGGCAATGTACACAAGCACGATAACCTAACATCATTCTGCATGTAACTGGGAAGGTGAGCAAAGTTCACAGTGGGACAAAGGCAGGTTGCTATTATTCTGAATCAGTGGACAGTTACTAGAGTTCTGCTGTCAGAAACTTCAGGACTCTTTGTGATTTACTTAGGTAATGAGTGTTTGTTTCAGTGGGATTATTCCTTATTTATACCACTGTGTGATAAGAGTCAGGCCCATTATAATTTTCTGTTTCTCAGACAAAATGCAACAGTCCTGATGCATTCAAAAACATTTAATTTGCTTCTGGGAAATCACCATGTCAGCATTTTAAAAAGTAAATATGCATACTAAAGCAGGGACTAGGTTGAAAAGTGGGAAAAGTTCAAGCAAAGATAAGTAAGACATTATATACTAATTCTTATTTGATTAAAGAGAAACATCATCTGTATTAAGTAGTGAGTTTCTAGCAATGAAGGTCGAGACTTTTCCTATGTCATACTTAAGATATAATAGTTTACAGCAAAGAGTTTAAAATTGTTAATTTAAATTATTTTAAAAGTGATGAAGGACTTTTTGTCAAATGTAGACTTTAAAGACTGTTTTGCATTCTAGATTTAATAAGAAGAACATGTAAATATGTATAATCAAATATATATATATGGTTCTGTTAAATAGTGGCTGATGTTTTAAAAATCTGCACAGAAATCTTTACACATGCTAGCTGGTATATACAGTAAAAGGTAAAATTCTTAATTCATCTTAACATGCATCAGCAAGAGGGAGTAAAGTGCTAAAGAGTAAAAACATTTACAGTGTTCAAATGTTCATTTTTAGCTTTCCTTTGTTTTCTTGCTTGTGTGGGGGTGATTACAGATGTCGTGTGGGAGAGAACTGGTGGTACCGGGGAGAGCATTGTGAAGAGTTTGTCTCAGAGCCACTGGTTGTGGGTATTGCAATTGCTTCAGTGGCTGGATTCCTTCTTGTGGCATCTGCTGTCATCTTCTTCTTAGCCAGGACCCTTCGAGAGCAATACACAAAAAATGACAGTGAAGACTCATTAGGGTAAGTGGCAAATATAACGTGAACCCCAAATTACAAATCAGACAAATTTATCAACTCCACTTTTCCCCTGGCCTTCCCAGGCTGAGAGATAAATCAAGCTCCAGGACTGGTTCCTGGACTATCCCAAGCATCTACTGCTGACCTAGGTTTTGGAGAGGACCCTGCAGAGATGCCTGATCTTTCCTGTTCCAATCCCACAGGGGACGTGACAGCCTCTCCTCCCTTGAAAATGCAGTCAAGTACAACCCCATGTACGAAAGTGACACTACTGGACAAAGCCAATACTATCGCAGATACCCACAGGTGACATCCTACAGCTCTACCAGTGGAGACACATCCACGGATTACAGCAGTGAAGAGATAAGGCACATTTATGAAAACAGTGAGCTTACTAAGGAGGTGGGCGGCATTATCACTTTGCTTCTCATGGAGCCAAGTGGGATGGTGGGGTGCATAGTTAGATCACTTTTAGATCCTGTGCAGATGTGATCATTCCCTCAAGCCTCATGCTCCAAATACACAGGCTCACATTGTGGCTGCCCGCTTTGTAGCTGTTCAGGATGGGGAGAAGAGCCTCCTGCATGGCTTCCTCCCATACACATACACAGCAGAGTTGGATTGTGGCTTGGAAGGAGTTTGACAGGACTGAGAAGCTGCATTTTTAAATAATTTTTATAAGTTTTGGGAGACATCTGTTAACCAAAGCAAAGTGCTTGTAGTATTCCCAGAAGGCTACCTGTGTTTTATGCTTTTCCTTGGAGGTAGCCATTCCATATACCCAGACTCTGCTCCAAGTGCCTACACAAGTCCTTAGATATTCAGAGCTTAGTATAATTGTCTGCAAAGCTGGAGCACATTGCTCCATTTCCCCATTCATATGTTGGGAGGAACAGTCCCTGGGATACTGGTGTGGGGGAATCTATACCCATCCATTGAATCAGTCATGAAGCCTTGAGCAAACCACTTAACTCCTTTCCTTCATTTCTTCATCTGTGAAAGAAGGAAATAGTATTATAAGGAATTCTTTGAGTTGGGTTTTTCAGTAGCAGATCAATCATTTGTACAGCTAATGTTGCAAGTATTGTAGAAACGAAACTTGTTCCTATATTCTGAATTAGATTAAAGTTGCATTTCTTTTGTCATTCATACTGGTAGTCATAGATCAACAGTAATTTAATTTGAGTTAAACTGGTAAAGTCTGAAGCCAGGTCAAGTATATGGACATCCTATATATGTGCACTGTATTAGGAATAAAACATTTTGTCATGTTGATTTAAAGGACATTATGCCTAATCTTGGCTTTGACTGAACTGTGATATATTAATAAGCTTCATATACAGAACAGGCAAAATGTTAATTCTGAACTATTGTTCTAATTTTAAGAGAATAATTACTAAAATTCAGTTTTCACAACCTTTTTATACATTATGAAAAAGGTTCCTTATTCTAGTGGTCTATTCCTTAAGTAGGAAAGCATACTCGTCCACTGCAATTTCAAGAAAAAATCTTGTCCAAAATTTGAAAATGTTTTTGTATTTTGAACCATGGATTCTTTTAGCTTTCTGTAATCTGATTGCGTGTCTTATATTATAGGAAATTCAGGACAGAATACGGATTATTGAGCTTTATACGAAAGATCGGCAGTTTGCAGAGTTTGTTAGGCAACATCAAATGTAAGTGAAATGTCTTTTCTGAATAATATTTTTGAAGCTTTCCCCATGACTTTATTCTGTTCCCTGCGATGTTCCCCTTTCTAAAGCAAAACAGCCCCATCGAGCATTGTGGAGATTTGGGAATCAGTTTGCTTACTGCTTTACAGGGCTTTGGGCAAGCCCCTACACATTTCTGCTCTAATTTCTCTGAAATTAAGGTATAATACGCCACAGAACAGTTGAGTTTTCATCCTATTACCCTTGTGAAGGTCAGATTCCCATTGATTTCAATGCAGATCTTAGCTGAGTGAGGAAAACAAGATTGAGACCTCATTGGCTGTTTGATATGTTGAAAGTATAAACAATCCATGAAAAGATGTCTCCTTTAAATGTATCCCTAAAGACTGGCCCTGAAATCTTATCCTTCTATGCTAGAAGCCACTTGTACTTGACAGTGAAAAGTGGATACCATGACATCCTCATAATAGGCATGGCCAGCTCTGCACTGTGCTCAAAGGGCTAGGTACATGTAACCTGGGAACATCCAAGGGTGTGCTCATCCTCAGTTGGAAGGGATTGATGAGGCAGGTGACAGTGCTGTGAGAGGGACACCTGTGATTTGAGCTCGGGTCCCTCTTTCCTCTATAGAGTCAGCTCCATGCCAGTGCTCTTAAGTATTTACAGTTTATTAAATAACAATATACATACTATCCTTATCCAATAAATACAGGTAAGTATCTACAGTAGGTATCACCCAACAAATAAAGGAAAACTTCCAGTGATATCATTCAACAACACTAAGGTTGTACAGATAAATATTTACAATATGGTAAGCCAGGAACCACCTCCTGGAAATGCTTGTCCTAATGGGCAACCCACCTTGGGGATGGCCTTAACCCTGTGCCCTACGGAGGCCTGGTGCAACTGGTGAGTTCTCAGGATGCCCATGCAAGGAGGAGGGGCAGATACTCAGATGGGTGAACCAGGTAAGTTAGGGTCAACAGGTAGTTTACAGGGAACCCAGAGGAACCATTGGCAGAGTACAACTGGATAAAAAAAGGAAGTGGGGGGGGGGGAAGGTGTAAACAGGCAGCATACCAATGACAAACCAATTATACAAAACTAAACCAATCCCATCACATATTGTACAACATATCCACAATCAGGATAACAGTCTTACAAAATATAAGGTGCAGCTTTACACAATATAAGGCACGTCTACCCCTGGATTCCAGTTAGCAAGGGATTACCTCCCCTCCTACAGGTCTAGCTGGGAAGGAACTGTTCACCTGAGGCTTCCCTCGGGGGTGTGGGGAGGGGGGCGCACGGCTTATTTCAGGAATGTCTCCCCTGTGGAACCCCATTCTGCCAGCAACCCACAGTCCTTTCTGAGGAGCTGTTAACCAGGCCTCAGGGTCCTCTGCTCAGCCCCCTGGCACTGTCTGCCTCATGCTGAGACCTTTCCTCCTGGTCCTGTGCCCTGCTTTGGGCACCTGAGCCCTGTGCACCAATCTATGCACCGCTAGGGCAAAGGGATTCTGGTGGAGGCCCTCTTTGGGCTCTTTCCTCTCCAATGTCCCTTGCCAGATGCCCTTGTGTGGCTCACACTGTTCCTTTTATACCTTCAGGGGGATCCACCCCCTGAAGTCCAGTGGACCTGCAACTTAGAGGTCAGTGGTGGGCACAATATTGCCCATGGGTCAGATCCAGCCTGCCAGCCATTCTATCAGGCCCACGGGACCCCTAAACATTTTAGAAAATTATTTTTTATCTGCCCCTGGCTGCCTGTCAAAGATGACAGGCAGCCAGCAGCAGCAGGACCCAGGGGAGCAGGTGGCAGGACCCACCGGCTGAGCAGCAAGGCCGGCCCAGCTCTACCCTGTCCCCAGCCCCCAACTGGAAGCCTCTGCAGCTTCTGGCCTTGCACCCCTGGGGCTGTTCCCTGCCTCCCTCTGTCTGTGTGGAAAGTAAGATAAGATCAGATGGGGAGAGGGGGAGGAGGATAAGTGGAAGACTGTTTCAGTCCTGCTGTAGGCATTTTGAATTCCTGGTCATGCCCTTTGGGCTCCCCCTACCTCCCAAGATATGCTGAACTGATTTATTATAATTTACAATGATGACATTAAATTTTTTCCTGATGATCAGACCCAGCATTCAGAACATGTGCATCAGGTCCTGCTCAGGCTCTGAGAAAACCACTTATATATAAGTTAGAAAAATGTGAGTTTGACAAGACCTCAATTGAATTCTTAGGTTATATAATTTCCCCCCAGGGCCTAACCATGGACCCATGTAAGTTAATCATCATGACTGAATGGACCGCTTTGCAGGATGTAAAGGGGGTCCAATGGTTTCTGGGCTTTGCTAATTTACATAAACATTTTTTCAAAGGGCTCTCACACCTAGTAGCCCTTGTTAAGAAAGAGGTACTGTTTAAATCGTCTCAAGAATCCTCAACGGCTTTTGAGACACTAAAAAGATCTTTTACCTTTGCACCTATTTTGGTGTACCCTGACCCCATGAGACCTTTTATAGTGTAAGCCAACTCCTTTACTTTTCTTATAGAAGCTATTCTTTCTACAGTTCAGAAACCTTGAACAAGTTGCACATTTGAGCCTTTTACTCCCAAGCCCAGGAACCCTTCCCCCAAAACAAATTATGACATCTGGGACCAGAAACTTCTTGCAATCAAGATAGTTTTCAAGCAGTGGTGGCACCTTCTGGAAGGGGCTTTCCATCCTGGCTAGGTAATTATGGATCATCAGAACTTGGAATATCCCCAAATGAGCTAGAAACTGAATTCATGACAGGTCCACTTGTTGCTTTTCTTTTCCTGTTTTAATTTCATAATCACATATCATTTGGGAGTCAAGAACCAGAAAGCAGGTGCCCTATCCTCTAAGGATGAATTGTCTACACTAGACATATCACAACCCCAGCCTAAGAACTTAATTCAGGGAACCACTCAGCACAGTCTCTTTAGCCATCCAAATGGCCCTCTTAGATGATCCCCTTGCCAAACAACTGTTCCAGCTGGCAGAACCACTCCAACCCAACTTTTGGTAATTCATGGGGTTTCTGTTTTTCTGACAGTGCCTGTATTTCTCAGATGGTCCTGTAAGATCAAGAATAACAAGGCCCTATAATGACTCACTTCCTGCATGTCACTTTAGACATACTAAAATAGGAGCTCTTAGTCTCCCAACAATTCTGGTGGCCCTGGATGGGGCTTGACATTAAACAATATGTCTTCATGTGCAATGCGTGTCCAAACTAAGAAAACTCAAGCATGGATGGATGGTTTACTTCTGCTGTTATCTACACCCATGCTGTCATGGCCAACACTTTCAGTGGATTTCATTATGGACCTCCCACATTCTTAGAACTGTTCCATGATCATTTTTGTGGTGGTTGTGTTAACTAAGATGGCTTATTTTATCCCTGCCCACTCTAGCCCCACTGCTAGCTAAACTGATGACCAGAGGTCCTGGTTTTCTCTGATTTAAAAACAATCCGCAACTTTTGGTTAAAAAAAGTAACCCCAAATTCACATTTTTCTGAGATTAAAATGAAACGCCCCCCCCCCCCCCCCCCCCACACACACACACACACAGAGTGGAATCTCATTTTAATCATGGGAACATGTGAATTTGGGGTTACTTATTTTTAACAGAAAATTGGGGATTTTTTTAAATTGGAGAAAACCAGGATCCCTGCTGATGACCTATTTCTGAGGCATATATTTTGCCTATGTGACTGCCTGTCTCAGGTGCTCTCTGATCATAGCCCCTAGTTTGTTTCATAGTTCTGGCATAAGTTCTATAATGCCCTGGGCATAGAAACTCTTAACACATCTGCATACCACCCTCAGACTAACGGACAAACAGAGCATATAAATCAGTTCTTAGAACAATAACTTAGGTGCTTTTTAAACTTCCATCAGGATAATTGGGTGCCCTTGCTTCTTTCAGAAGAGTCTGTATATAACAATGCTGTCCATATGTCTACAGGCCAGACCCGTTTTCCTCCAACTATGGATTCCATCCCCAGTTCCATCCAGCACCACCTACCTTCCCACAGGTTCCTCTAGTGAATGACTTTGTATTGCACCTCCAACAGGTGTAGCAAGAACTAAAAGTTCAGCTTGACTCTGGCAATACCATGTATAAAGACCAGACTGATTGACACTGAGAGCCCAGCCCTCCCCATTTTAGTTGGTGGAAAATACTGGCTCTCTTCAAAAAAAAAAAAAAATCAATACCCTGAGACCATCATTCAAACTGGGTCACTAGCATCTGGGCCCGTTTATGGTAGTGGAACAAATAAACTCTATTGTTTTTAAGTTTTAGTTGCCAAAGACATTGAAGATACACCCCTTTTTCCATATATCCTTATTCAAGCATTTCATCAAAAAGCCCTTTCCTGACTATCTGAACCCAAGCCCACCCCCACTCCATCCGTGATAGTGGAAGTCACAAAGAGTATATTGTAAAGCAGGTTTTAGATTCTAAAAGTGTCCAAGGAAAGCTCCATTACTTGATTGACTTGAGGGGCTATGAGTTAAGAATGATCCTGGGAATCAGCCAACCACATTCATGTCTTTGAACTAGTGTAGGCTTTCCATCAGAGGTACCCAGAAAAGCCTAATCCCAGACTGCCTGGAAGACAGCCCTGTAAAAGGGAGGGTCAGGGCCTCTAATCAGTCAGGCTTGGTGGGCAGAGCACTTGAATTATCATGCTTGCCTCCGATCCCTGGCTAATGAGAGTGCCCTAGTTTTATGTGGAGGCAAGGAACTGGGTTGGCTGCCACAAATGTCGCTTTTAAGCACACCTGCAGCCTCAGGTTGCAAACACATCTTGATCAGCCCCAGTCTGTTTCAGCAAGCCTCATATTCACTGCTCCTTCTGATTCTCCTGGTTCCTGACTTGGCTTTGGCTTTTCCTGACCCTGACCTTGGATCTTACCTAGAATTAGACACTGTTTCTCTGACTCCTGGTTTCTGATCTTGGTCTGCTTCTGGATTGTATCTCTTGGATCTCTTGGTCCTTCTG